ACAATTTCTTGTGGCCTCAAGATTTTGCAGGCCAAACACTTGCCAAACAAACATGTGAGTACATGTTTCAATTGATGAACATATTTTGAATACATGGTTACGGAACACTTTGTGTACTACAGCTTTCTGTGGCCTCAAAAGTTTGCAGGCCAAATGGTTGACAGAACGCTTGGTGACCACAATATTTTTATGGGCCAACATATTTGGAATATATAGTTAAGGAGAATCTCTGGACTAAAGTGTCGTGTGGCCTCAGAATTTTGCAGGCCAAATATTTGTCAGAAAAAATACTATGGGCCAACATATGTTGAACAATTATAGTCAAGGGAAATGTTTGGAGTACAATTTTCTTGGGCCTCCACATTTTGCAGGCCAAATGATTGACAGCAGAAGTCTTGAAGGTTTTGGGATCGATGGGTCTCGTTTTACGCTTTGGGTCCAACTTTGTATCCGCCCCGGTACCACCAGGAGTTGGATGCCCAGTGCAGGTTCTCACTCTTCAGATACTCCACCTCGTCGCCATCATCGCAGTCAAGCACCTCTTGGAACCACACGCGCCTTTCAGGAGCCACTGTCTCTCCTGACCACCGTGAAGATTTGCTCATGCCGCCCTCAGCGTCACGGTCATGATACACCGTTTCTGCCTCAGCTTCGCTCTCTTCAACTTGTCATTGTCCTCAGAACCTGCCATCAAAAAATCTACATGCAAGGACATTAGTTGGATACCCTGATGCATCCTATACAAACAACAACGATGACAAATCATCGCAGCGTGCACATGTGTTTTTCTTGGAATCTTCATAAAGATTCTCCGAATCCCAGAGGATCCCTCGTTGACTATGAAACTCACAAGATCACGGCAAGTACCATGTCCACCACTGTGGCGGAGTTGCACGGGTTGATGCGTTGCTTCAGTAAGTGTTTTTTCATACGAGGACATTGGTCAGGCATATCTGGCAAACTCAATTGCAGACGTCCAGATTCGCAATGGTGCTAGCAACTTATTAGCCACTGCGTCCACAACCCATCAACCTCAACAGAAAGAAACCATGCATCTTTCCAATTGCTCCGTAAGGGGAGTAATGTGGACAGATGCATGATCTCGCCCAATGTACGCTCAGAATATTGTCTTGCAGATTGTTTGACGAAGAGCTCTGCCAAGGCCGACGAGCTCATCGAATCCATTATGACAGGTATTATCCCCCATTCCAGAAAATGCATAGAGGGGGGTACCTAGATACCCCGTGCATTTTTGCTTTATGCATTTTTAAGCGTACATCTTTGCAGGCCATGCCCGGTATGTTGAATGCAGTGCGTGAAGCTGCGCCTGGACTATTGAAAGCTGTGCCTGGCATGTTGAAAGCTGCGCCTGGGATGCTGATTGCGGTGCCTTGACTATTGAAAGCTTGGCATGTCTGTGGCTCGCTTTGGTTGGCGGTTGCCTGCTGTGCCTGGGATGTTGAAAGCTGGGATGTTGATCGCGGTGCCTCGGCTATTGAAAGCTTGGCCTGGGCTGTTGACAGCGATGTTTGGGATGTCTACGGTCGTGGCTGGGCGGTTGCTTGCTTTGGTTGGCGGTTGCCGTTGTTGGAGACGGCCTGCGGTTGGAAGCTGTGCCTGGGTTTGGGGCGTTGGCAAGCCGGCACGCGTAAGCTGTGCCTGGGCCTGGGGTGTTGACAGCCGCGTTGGCGCCTGCCTCAGCGTCGCTGCGCGGGCTCTCTGTGCTCTTACGCCCCGCGGCCAGAAGCAGATTCTTGGCCGCGCAACCAGATCTTCATCAAGACATCCGTCGACGGGCTGGCAAATCCGCTTACGCCCCGCGGCCGGTAGCAGATCTGGCGCACACACTGGCGAGACGTTTCCACCGGCGAACTCATTGTTATCTTGGCTGGACCGCGGCCGGATCACAGCCTGATGGCTGCCTGATCGCGACCGGATCGCGGACGGATCGCGGCTGAATTTTTCGGCCCTCACGGCCGGATGGCGAACGGATCGCGGCCGGATGGCAGCTAGGCGATGTTTGCAGGGTCATGGCTGGGTCGTGGCTGGATCAGTCTGGATGTTGCCCGTGTGTGTGTGCGTTTTGTGGGACCCGTTCGGCAGATCTGCGCGCCCTAGAAAGAATGTCTGCCTGGTTATACATAGTAGCTCAATGGGATGCTCTTGGTTCAAACTTTAGTTTGTCTTGTTTTCTGTCAAGGTCTATTGCGCATCACACACACACACTCGCTCTGGCGTGTTGGCTCATCAACCGAAATGGTGGTTCATATGTCTTGCTCGGAGTCACAACCAACCAACCACCAAAGCAGGCGCCGTCCAACACAAAGAGGCGCAGTCACATATGTTCGAGACCACGTTGATGAGTGTGAGGTATTGCCCGGCGTAAGTGTGGACGTTAAAGCTGCCCCATTTTGCAGGGCGGGGGGGGATCTACAATACCCATATGGGTCCGTACGTTTGCACCTTCCCATGAGAGGTAGACCGCTTCTGGCATTCACCAAGGCAGACTTCCATTGAATATTTTTTTGAGGGACCATGAACCTTTCTATTTTCTTGGCAGTTGTAAGAAACATGTCAGAACGTCAGAACCGTTGACTCAAGAAATTTGCGTCTGCTCTCCCGCAGCCATTTACTTTCAAGTGAGCTTGGCCTTTTGAGTTACAACCCTTCTGCGATGCGGCGCAACTTCGGAAGCCTTCGGGCACAGCTTTCCAGACCTCCAGATCCAGACCCAGATCCAGATCCACCGATGGAGAAAATAAAGCTGGAAGAGGAAAAGTCGGCGAAGTCCGATGTCGATCAGGACGAGGGGATGGTTGGCCAAGAGAAACAAGCTTCTCCTAAGAAGCCGAAAACAGAGAAGGATTCCGAGGAAGAGCAGCATGAAGGTCCCATCGGATTGGTCGAGAGAGAATCCGATTTCGAGGAAATGTCGAACCAGAAGAACGTCAAGAGTCTATTCATGCCACGGATGAGCCAGATGACGAAGATCCAGATATGGAGGTGAAGAAGTGCCAGATGATAAGCCAACTTCCTTCAGCGAACACGCTCAAGAAGAAGAAGAAGAACCAGAAGAACTTCCACCGAAGAAGCTTCCACGAGACCATCCTTTTGCAACTTTTGCAGGTTCATTAATTGCAGCGATTTCTTGGTTCTATCAGAGGTGTGATTTCATAAATGGAAGCAGACCAAAGTTGCAGTAGCTTCCGCAGAGCCAACGTGATTGCCACAGCGATAGCCACGGTATCCATGGTTTGAAATTCTTCAGGGTCTGGGAGCACCTCAAGAATTTTGCACATCAACGACACCATCCCGTGTTTGAGAGATTCACCATCGACCTGGCATATGCAGATTGTTCCTACGGTGTGCAATTACCAAGGATATGTTAATATTTCTGATACACATCGAAATGTGAAGGCATTGGCGACGACCTTGAACCTTAGGGAGCCTAGAGCGTGCACCGGTGTATCCAAGAGAAAGGAAGAGAGGCGATCTTGAGCACTCTGTCATTCTTGGACTTATCTAGAATAGCCCTGGACATGTACTTTGTCACCAGGAATGTGACGGGATCCGTAATCCTACTGTCAAAGGGGCCTTCCGGCAGGCCAGGTACACTGGTCCGCAATACCCCAAGGATGCAAGACAGTTGGCTGTTTTGTCTAAGGAGACTCCACAGCCAGGTAGCAACTGTGGAGTCCTAGATTGCTTGGTTACCCATGCTTTCCATTGACGAACCGAATGAGAGATCTTCGAGAAGGGAACATATCCAACGATCTCAACCCAGATGAGAAGCAGCCATGGGGAACATATTCCCTGATTACAAATTGAGTTCAGGCGAAGGATGCAAAGTCCTGACCAACGATTAGCTTCTGATCGGGCCAAGTAATTCAGATTGGCGCCATCCGCTCCTCGTGAATATCGATGTCATGCATGAGAACTGAAACGGAAGAGAGAAAAGGAGAGAGAACGCGGATACTCCAGCTAAGGAGCAACCAACATTGGTGCGACAATGTCATCCTAGTGACATATGGCCTTTCCATGTCTGTGCGCTCCTTGGTATACTCACTCTCTTTTCCGTAGATGCCGTGTGCATATCAGGAGATTCTCACTCTGAGCCCGTCAAAAGACACGTGTGTCCGTCCTCGGGCGTTTTCGAAACACAAGGCTACGGTACATTTATCCAATCTGCTGCTACTGCACAAACTCCGTATATTCAGGCCCAACAGCTGTGTGATTAAATCGCTTACTGGCATATTCCGTTGAATCTGAGATGCCATGACTGGAAAGAAATTTGTGTCTGCTTTGTTTCTTGTTTTGTTCTGTGCTTGTGTCACATGATCCACTCATGAAGCAATCTCTTGTGCGCGTGGCTCAAGGCCTGGCGCTTAGCTCAGTAAGAAAGGAGCCATCGCTTTGCTGATTGTGGAACTTCGCATACTTGATCCTTCAAGGACCAAACGATTCATTCCTCGTGCATCGGAGTAGATCTTCTTGGAGGACCTACGAGGTGCATTGCCGGCTTTATTGGGTTCACCTTCCCCCCCCTCCCCCCTTCGACTCCTCCCTGGTCCGCCCTCGGCCCCGCCCCCGCCGCGCGTGCCTGATTGGCAGCGTCGCTCCGTTTTTTTTCCAATCTTTTCGCCCGCTTCGCTTCACACTTCGGCCTGCTTTTTGCACCAAGTCACGGTGCACCTTGTCCCTTCCTCGCTTCGTCAGTGCCCCACTGTACATATTCTACAAGTACTTCCCTCTTTCGCGGAAGGGACATTGTGTCTGTTGAGCTCCGTGCGCACCTTCCTTTCTTTTTCAAGGACACATTAGGGGAAGCCACTTTACGACTCATTAGCGGGGCCACTTTACGGGGGGGCCACTTTACGGTATCCTACCTTTCGTGTCTCCCCTTCTCAAGTTTGCCCACCAACAAGCGCGGGACCCACCAGACCACATTGCCATTTGTAGGGCAGGCATTCTGGAAAGGACAGGGGCTTAAAACCCGCAAGGCGTCCACAGGCCAAAGCTGGTTTCGTGACAAGGGGAAGGGCGTCGGAAAGGAGGGCAAGGGAAAGGCTTCGAAGCCATGCTTCAACTTCCAGAAGGGCTTTTGCGACAGGGACAACTGCCTCTACTCGCATGATGTTGCATTGGCTGGCGAGAAGGGCTCGAAAGGAGCTCCGGGCAAGGGCAGCTGGAGGCAGGAGAGCTCAGATCGGAATAAAAGCTGGAAGCAGAACCAAGATGATCAGAGCGGGCAAAGACAGCAAAGTTGGCAACAGAAAGATGATTGGCGGAAGGGTGAGTGGAAGAGCTCACATGACTCGAACAAGTCGAACTGGAAGCAGGACTGGGGCCAGAATCGAAAGGAGTGGGAAGCGAGGCAAGACTGGCAGAACAGGCAGCAGAACTCTGGCAAGAGCCACTTGCCGTGGACGTTGTGGTGTTTGACGTGTTTCTGTTTGTTTGCTTTCTCCGGTCAATCCGCGTATGTGCTTTGCATCATCGGTTGGGTGAATTTGCATCATGAACTTTTCAGCGTCTTTGTTATGTCGCTTGCTTTGGGTTCTTGCTTCTGGCTTCAGCTTGATCAGCTGCTCCTTTCCCAGCCAAGGCAATGAGACTTGGTCCTCCTGGACTGCGCCAGCGGAGCCGCCCGGCCCGCCGCACCCACCCATCCAGCACCAAATCGAGGCTTTGCGGCAAAACAACCTTGACCTAGTGGCCAAGAACAGCCCTGCCTGGCAGAGTTTGAGCCCCGACCAAATCCCCACCACCGTAGCTATGTGGAGGCGCCGACAGAATGAGTTCTTCCCTGACGCCAAGGAGCTACCGGAGCCCTGGATCCGCACATTGTCAAAGACATCACGGAAAATGTATTTCACCAATACGCAGGACCTCTCAAGTACCTACGACATCGCAAGCTGCTTCTGAAAAAGTGGGTGTGGGAGCTGTGTAGCACGCTTGGCTCCATGGTTTTGGGGCGCGCTGGAGGTGAGCTGGTGGGGCATTTAGGGGGGTTCCATGGATGGGGTAGTTCCTGCAAACGGGCGCCGGGATTCAGAAATACACTTGCATGAACTGCCAGGCCAACAGGAAGCAACCAATCTGGGGGCCATGTTCAGGCGCACAATTCACCAGCTGCTTGTTGAGCGTCAGGTTTTTCCAGTCGCGCAAAACGGCGTGGCAAAACGAGCTCGCCTGTGAGAAAAAAGGTACAGCTCCCTACCCACGCCTTCCTCACTTCACGTTGGGGAAGAATCATAGCAACCCGTGCAAGTCTATGCTTGCTAGTGCTGATTGCTTGCGCTACGCAAGTAAAGGGCCACGACCTGAGCCTCACTAGCTTGAAACATATCCTGACCCGGGGTGGGCTCCTTTCTTAGCTTGACCTGAAGCGGGGCAATGGCAGGCGCCAACTGGGGTTGGGGTTGTCAGGAATTTTGCCATCAGGATATTTAAAGGGCCTTTTCCCTTTCCAGACCCATTGTAGAGTGGCTGCTCTTCTTTTGTGTTGGGGGAATGCAAAACACCTTCAGGTCCTGAGTAAACACGTTGAATCAAGACACTGATGTAGGAGCCCTTCAAGGTTGCTTCTGGTTGGTTTCTCAGCGGGTACCTATCCTAGCCGAGGGCGGCGTCGAGAAAAAGCCAAAAGAAATCCGCGCAGCCTAGGCAGCCTCAGGGAGCTCAGGGAGGAAGAGACGGCCCGCATCAGGGCCAGCCGCGAGACCCGAAGGCATTTGATTTTGGCCATGGGCCTCCGGCCCTCTTGTCTTATCCTTGGGAAGAACACGTACGCAACCGATCTCCGACAAATCGGTGAGTATGTTCTTTGCAACATGCATTCTGTTCAACACAGCCCTTCCTCTATGCAGGAAGGCTGGGGCTTCCCTGGGGGCGAGTCCATTTTCAGCAGCGCAAGACGCAAGACCACTTGCCCAAAGGCAGCTTGGACAAGCCAGGTGCCGTTGCCTCCTCAGCGGTCACTTTGCAACTTTGGCTTGCGACGAAAGCAATGTGTTGGGTTCAGTACAGCTGGGCCTGTTTACGGCGACCATTCCCGGGGGTTGTTGAAATTCACTTTTAAAAGGAGTGTCGTTCACATTGTTTTTGTTGGCAGGGAGTTGCTGTAGCGTTCGCCGGCAGGTCATCATTGTCATCATCTTCGACCGGAGGCTTGCCCGCATGAATGAGCCGCAGCAAGATCTTGTCGACAGAGGCGAGTTCAACACGATGAAAAGGAGAAACCCGCTCCAAACACCCCCCCCCCCCCCACGATAATTTTTTGGACATTTATCAGTGGGCGAAATCCATTTTCACAATCAGCTTCGGTGCGTCAAGGGTCGGCCAAATAATTTGCGTCAATTTCCAATTTTGCAAAAGTCTGATGTGAGTGTTTTACACAGAGGCTTTTGCAAATTTCACGTGCCACGGTGAATGCCCCACGGGCGGTGAATGCTTTGCACAGTAATTACGGCATATTGTGCTTGAGCCCTGGCGCCTTTCTGAGGCCCCATTCTAGCATGTGGTGCATTCCATTCCAGGTGCAGAAGGAGGGCTTGGCTAGCTTTCAACCATGCAAGGACTTCTAGCCAAGGAATGGCCTGCCATTTGCGCAAGTAATCTTAAGCATGGCGCAACTTAAATGCGGCCTCAAAGTGTCGAGCGCAAGCTAAGGAGGCGCAGAGGCAGCCATGGCCGCCATGATCGAGGTAGATTTGACAAGCGAATTGGCATAGACGACGTTGGCCCTTTGAATTTATGGCGCAATTTGAGCGGTTATTTGTGCATGCCATGCCGTCAATATGTCGGCGCAAATTCGTTGCTGCCTGCGAGCGCGGCCTGTTGCAGTGAAAAACCCAATTTGGTGTCGGGGCATGACAGCCCCTTTGGTTGACGCATGAGTGTCGTAACTTGGTCAGGGAGCTGGGCTGCTTGATCGAAGTGGGGCACGCGCATTTGCAGGTGGCTGTGATCATTTTGCGAGCAATGGGTGCCTGCAGCCAAGCTCCAACCCTTTGCCAAAGATCATGGAAGTGCACCGGAGGCCTTTTAAGAGGATGTTCACTTCCATGATTGTTGGAAAGGTGGTAAGTCGAAGCCGTTCCCAGAGGACTTGTGACAAACCGGCTGTGAGTCAGCTGAGGTCATTCAGCTCAGCGACCTTCTGACAAGGGTACGGGTCCTAAAGCTGAGGAGGGCAACCCAAACCCGGGAACATCTTACTTGCGCATGTGCGCCTGGCATTGTGAAAGGGCGTGCGTCTAGCGCTGTCGACGTGTGCATTTATTGGTCGTTATGCAACATAAGACGTGACCCCTGCGCACACCTTGAGTAGTTGAGGATAGCCTGGTTTGGAAGAGCCCTGCACGCCCCATTAGGCAATGCGTATCAAAGGCTCCTGCTCGCACATTCGCAACGTGCGTGGGTCCTGAAAGCACGCGAACCCATATTTCAACAAGGCTGTACGCACACCCCGCTGCACCTTCGCCGTTTTCATTTTAATGCTGACGTTCGCTTAGTAACTGGGGAAGGGGCTTAATTAAGTCTTTAAGTACACAGCTGCAAGAACGAGTTGTAGAAGTTTGCCAAAGGCTGTGCGCGCAAAGCTGAGCATGCATAAGTGTGTAACTTTATTTCAGGAGAAGCCGGCAGCCTAGGCAGTCATATTCATTCCACTCTTCCTGTACTTCTTGATGAGCGCCCACAGGGCTTCTGCAGGTGCCTAAGAAATTCCTGAATCGCTACATGTGGATGCATGTGCCCGGTGCGGAGGGGAAGTGGAGCAAACCTGCTCAGGTTGTCCCTGAAGTCAAAGATGGCATTGCCCGTGGCCAAGATGTTGTTAGTGGTAGCCCGGGATGAGTCAACCTGGTTGATCAATAGGGGGATCATACTCATTAGGGAATTTACACTTTTCTGGGAAACACCTCATATGCATCCGCCAGCTTGATTGGCCGGGGTCGACGTGGGGCATGCTTCTCACATGCCGCAAGAGTTACAGGTGAAGGTTCTGGGCAGCAAATTCCTGGTTGGCTTGGGCAATCTTGCCTTCCCAATTTTTGCGCTGACCTCAGAGATACCATGCCAGAGAGTTGTTTGCAGGGACAGGTTTGATGTCTGTGTTTCTGTGCATTGATTATTTTTGTGTGTCTGTGTGTTTGCACCCTTTTCGGGTGGTGCTGGGTGTTGAAAGAAAACCAAAGGCACCCACCTCTTTTGCATTCGAAACATTCACCATGACCTCGCAGGTGGTGCACGGGCCCCTTGGCCAGATCTTCTACAAGAAGGCAAGGTGGATTCCACTCGTTTGTGGTTTGGTTCCTTTCGTTGGCCCACAGAGTCCTCAGGTCATTGCCACGAAGCTCTTTGGAGGAACTATGATGTCACTTTTTGGACCACAGCACAGGCCTCAGTTGATCAGAGGGAGCTTGGCTTGGAGAGAACGCGCTCTCAGGTTTTTCTACGCTTACTTGGCTATCGTCCTGGTCGCAGCGTGGGCAGGGCGCACAGGTCACACGACACACAGACACACAGACACACAGACACACAGACACACACATACACATACACATACACATACACACAGACACACACAGACACACACAGACACACAGACACACAGACACACAGACACACAGACACACAGACACACAGACACACAGACACACAGACACACAGACACACAGGCACGCACGCACGCACGCACGCACGCACGCACGCACGCACGCACGCACGCACGCACGCACGCACGCACGCACGCACGCACGCACGCACGCACGCACGCACGCACGCACGCACGCACGCACGCACGCACGCACGCACGCACGCACGCACGCACGCACGCAGGCACGCAGGCACGCAGGCACGCAGGCACGCAGGCACGCAGGCACGCAGGCACGCACGCACGCAGGCAGGCAGGCAGGCAGGCAGGCAGGCAGGCAGGCAGGCAGGCAGGCAGGCAGGCAGGCAGGCAGGCAGGCAGGCAGGCAGGCAGGCAGGCAGGCAGGCAGGCAGGCAGGCAGGCACGCGGGCACGCGGGCACGCGGGCACGCGGGCACGCGGGCACGCGGGCACGCGGGCACGCGGGCACGCGGGCACGCGGGCACGC